AAACATTGTGGGCAAAACATATAAGCCGCCAGGTCATCGAAATGAAAACCCCAAAAGGCCAAACGGAAGTAACGACAGACCTAGCGGGTGGACAGATAGACCTCCTTAGAACAACCAAGCGGGGACATCTTGAGGACCTTACCCACAAAGGAACCACCCGACGACACCTTTACAATGCCTGTTGTGTAGAGGCCCCCACAAAGTGTCCTACTGTCCTCATCGGGTCTCTCTCAGTGCACTCTAAGTGTCCATTCAAGAGAGCAACGACACAAGAGTCGAGACTATGCTAGACAAGAAGGAAGATCAAGACAACCCCCATCGCTTATGAAAGTCGAAAGTTCAACGATGCTGAACAGAGATCCACCATCTCCGAAAAAGAAATGCTGGCTGTGGTCCATTGCCTACACGTCTAGAGACAGTACCTCTTGGGATCACAGTTCATAGTGAAGACGGATAACAGCGCCATTTGCCATTTCTTCGATCAACCAAAATTGACGGCAAAACAAGCCCGATGGCAGGAGTCGTTGGCGGAATTCGACTTCAAATTCGAACACAAGGCAGGAAAGAGTAATCAAGCAGCCGATGCGCTGAGTCGGAAGGGCGGACAGTGAAATGTAATCACAAGACCGAACATCGATCTGAAACAAAGAGACAACAAAGAAATAGAGGAGATCCTAGCCGACAAGGTTAAGAAGATAGGAAGACCCGTACGGACGATTCGTGAATTCCTTGTCAAATGGAAAAATCTCCCCTATGGAGGAAACCAGCTGGGAACGCGCCGAAGATCTAGACTCCACCGCCACCCACATCGCCAGGTTCGAAAGTAGTCGATTGACAGGGACGTCAACCAATTAGGTGGGGGAGGATGTCACGGTCATGCTCGTCCAAGGCGTGTTGCCCAGCTGATTTCCGAAGGGGTCCCACATCGATAGGACAAGGAAACAAGTGCTAGCGAGAACACTAGCCCCGAAGGGGTAGATTGTGAGATTCCATAGGTTGGAGAGAAGAACTTAGCATTATTTATAAAGGTGTGGAAACTTTTTCCTACTAGATGCATTTTAAAATATTGAGGAGAAATTCGAAAGTAAAAAGAGAAATTCGAAAGTAAAAGTACAAGGAGGACAGTATTTGCGAGTTGTATGCTACTTTGTTACCATTAAGAAGAAACTTCACTTTCCATGATTCTGAAAGCAAACAGACGAGTACATACATTTTTACAAAGGAAAAATAAACAGAGGCATTTCATCGAACAGTTAAACGTCAAGTTGGAGAGACCTAGGTTTTTCCCCTTCGATTGGCTTTTGCAGCAATCGGCTTTTGCAGCAATTTCAGGTCCACTAGGTTTTTCCCCTTTCTCTTTGTCGATAGTAAGAATTGACGACGAGTAGCATCTCCTTATACTATATTTTAAGGCATTTCAGGTCCACTAGGCATAGACATAATTATGTTGAAACGTTATATATTTAGAAAATACAAAAAGAAAATATATATCTAGAAAGTGGTAAAAAAAAGCACAAGAGGTTTGACATGCAGCTATGACCAACGCGCCTTGGACCAACATGATCGTGACAAGCTGCACACTTTGACCTATCGTCCCCCGCTTAGTTTTTACCCTCCATGAGATCCTCGCTCTTCCTCTCGTCTCATTACAAAATTTCTCTCAAAATCATAAATCCATATACCCCTTAACTCACTTAGGTATGTCGTCCATGGTTGTGACTTAGTAGACCAACTTAGCTCAATGATAATTGTTATTTGTCAAGGGTGTACATCTTCGACCGTGCGGCGTCATGATCTCGACACATTCATGACAAGTCTTAAGGGAATTTCAAGTCCCATTCACATTTTTCGCCCAAGTTTGTGGCTTCATTAGACCATAACAGAGGTTCGTCTTTGCCAACCGAACACAACTTATGCATTGTTCGACCACACATGCTACTTGTGCATGCATGTTCAATCATCTGTGATTATAGCCGACTTGCCTCTATGCCAAGTCATCTGGGTCAACTTGTCTCTACTCTAAGCCAAGGTCTCTCGTAAACAACGTCACATCTCATCATCATCTAGGTTCCCATCAAACGATCCATGCATCATGATGTCATCACATATCTCAGGACAACCCGACCATTTTGACTTGCTCGGACATATCAATCGGAATTGACTTACGTATCATTCATCTCATTAGACTTCCTAAACATTCATCCATCTAGGTTCTATTGAGGCATTGGACCCTCTCGTCTCCATGCTAAATCATTTACCAAATTCGTTTCAGATAACGGGTGCATAATCCAACTTTTGACACATGGGTTAGGGTGCAATGTCAGCACGTTGACACAGACCTTAAAAGACCCATTTTAAAGGAAGACGCCCGAGAAGCTCACCCACACTGTGACACATGTATGTGTCATAAGGTAGCTCGCTTGGGCCATAGGACGCAGAGTTGCTGGAGAACTGACACCATGTCTCCCTCTATAGTACATTTTGAGGCATTTTCAATCTTTCTAAAGTAAATGCTTTTTTGGCAAGTATTCATACGGTCCCATGGAACGTTCATCGAGTATCTGGTTTACTAAATTTGGGGAGTTTTCATCTTTCATATGGTGGACTTAACTTCAAAGCCACATGTTGAAACTCATATCGAAACCCCGACTTCTGACAAGGCCCTACTCGACCCTCTTAAAACTTGTTTTCAACGTGGTGCCTCATTCTTGCCAACCTTGCACATGCCTCAACTTGGCTTGGATGCACTTATCTAACTCGGCCCCCAGGTGACCGAATGGGTGCCACTTGAAGGTCTTCACCGTGTGAATATGTGTGTAAGGTCACAACCTACTTTCTCTTAGTCAAGTTGTGATACTACCCACTTTTAATGCAACTCTAATGTTTTAATAGTTAAAAACATGAGTTGTCTTAAAAATAACTATAAACTTTTAAAAAAATTAATAATATCTTTAAACTTTTGAAAAAAAAAAATTTAAAAATTACATTGGCAAATAATTTTGGATAGAAAAACTTTTAATAATATTCGAAAATATTCAAAAATACCTCAAACTTTGACAAGTATCATTAATACCCTTTGACTTAAAAAAAAAATCAGAATTATTCTTATAGTCAATAAACTGTTTAAAAAATACTTTTGGAATTTTAAGAGTCGTATTATCAAACGCCCTTAGTTTTTATTAAAAAAATTAAAAAAATATCTACGGCAATATCTACGAGGCCGTCTATCTACGCCTCATAATTATCTCCAAACTTTTTCTAAAAAATATAAAAGTTGTATTTATATTATTTTTGAAATTTTAAAAAAAAGTTTAAAGGTGTTTTTTATTTTTTATTTTTAGAAAAAGTTGTGTATTTGAAGTTTTTTAAAAATATTAAATATATTAATAAAACTTTGGAGCATATTTTTGTAACATTTTTAAATGGAAACTTTTTGGTGTTTTTTTAACTCTTTTAAAAATTTAGATATTTGTTTTAAACAAAATATTTACCGTTTTGGTTCAAAATCAACCATAATTGTATTTTTTTTAACTTTTATTATTATTATTATTATTATTTTTTAGTTTAAGTGGGTGCTTGAAACTTTAGATAGTTAAGAGTAATTTTTCTGCAAAATTCAACCATATTATTATCAATTTAGTTTTTTTTTTTTTTTCTTTTTCATCAATATCCCTCTTCTTCTTCCCTCTCCCTAGTTCAAAATAAATGGAACAAAGGTTTTTCAACGAGAGAGCAATCATGTAACGGTTACAAACAAACAAAAAAGAAAGAAAAAAAAAATCAGTCGCTCGAAAAGGCACCTCGTCGGCGTCGGAATTCTCGCAACCTTCTATGTTCCCCGACGCCCACAATATGCCAAACAAGCCACACTCCTACCATTTGAGAGTTACAGAACACCAAGAATACGAAGGGGAAGAAGACAAACAGTCAGGTTTGAGTATTTTAGACGAATACAATCAAACGTGGGTGTTACACGGTACGAAAGACGAACATACGTGGGACCGACACATGCGTGGCCTCGTCGGCTTGAACTTGGCTCGACGTGGCTTCTCGGCTCACAATGCTGCTTCTCGGCTCGACATAGGGATTTTTCATCAATTTCCACGCTGAAATTGACCTTGTTTAAGACAATTAAGATTAGTAGAAGGTCCGATTTCTCAATTTAAGTTAAATTGAGCTAAGAAATTTGAATCACTAACGAAACGAGATGAACGTTTTGATAGGAAACAACTCTTGGCGATACTTGGAGCAACTTCGAAGGACGAAATTTCAATGTACTCGGATATAAGGAGAATGCCTACTAAGGCCAACCAAATAAGTGACCTACTATCAATTCGGTTAAAACTTACATGTTGTCCCATACTACGGTAGGTAGGAAGGTCTGTGGGCATGTTATTTTTCATGAGAATGTGCTCCCCTTTAGATAGAAAAAGAAGAAAGAGGAAGAATGGAGAAAAATCTCCTAAAAGAAAAGGAAAATAGGTTGAGAATTAGCCTCAAAACCATACCATTCTAGCATTTTGATTTGTTCCAAAGCTGTTATGATAATGACATTACAGCTATTTTGATTTATTTAAAAGATTATATGTAATTAGTTTTTTCGAATATGTTTTAAGTTCGATGTCATGAGACATCGCTATGTGTAATTAGTTTCTTGAATATGTTTTGAGTTCGACAAGCAAGTATTAGACGACTATTGGCTAAGAGAAATTAGTGACATGACTTAGGCCAATACTGTAGGCAAGTTTACTATTGAAACACCTACGAGCGAAGTTTGATGAATTGGATGAAGCATGAATATCACATCACTTGTGACCTTTTATGTGATATTATTCTATATTATGATGTTAAAGTTTATTTTCATGATGCGTGTACCTCATGTTTGTTATGATTACGTTTAAGCCCTATAAGATATTAGGATGCACCATATATAACAAACATGTATGAAATACTATGAATTTGTAAGTACATCTCATTAGAAATTCTTGTACCGAAAAGTATGGAAGTAATATATGCGTCATTTTACTTTACCATGATTTTAAATACAGCACCTCATGCATCATGTCACAAACATGAATTACTTATTTTGTATGTTACATACGAAGATGTATACCACAATATTATAAGCTCTCCTTTTCATTGACTTCTAACGCGTGAGCATGCGCTATCCCATAGTCAGACCTAAGAGGTACATACACGAACCCACCTTGTAAATTCATGTGCGCACACGTGAACTGTGAGTAGAGTAGTATTGTGCATCGAATCCTAATAAAAAATAAGAAAAAATAAAAGTTCAAGGAACAATCACGAAAAGTTAGTCACACTAATCATGAACCATATTGCATTTAATTACATTTTCCAACCCGAGATTTGAATCTATGATATATCAATAATGGCGAGTTAAATTCATGTTTATTTATATTTTATACTATGTTCATGTAATTTATATCATTGGAATATCTCTATTGAGCATTAAAGTATCAAGATTTAGTCTCTACAACACCAGCACATTTTTTCTCTCCTGGTATGCTTTGCTAAGAGATTAAAAGAAACAACGTACCAATCAAATATCCACACGTTATGAGTGAAGATTCAGGTCGGGACTCGACAACAGACGTCGTAGATTTCATCTAACGGAGCATGGTCCCCGGTACCTTCATCTTTTCGAGCATACAACAGTTGTTTTCCTTTGAAAACAAGCATCCCTCCCTAATCAAACAAACATGAAATATGAAAAAGTTTCCACAAACTGAAGATCAAAAAAGTGTTTTTCATATGAACAAAACACACACACAAAAAAAAAAAAAAAAAAACCTGTTGTAATACGCTGCTTCTATCGTCTGGGGTAGCTTCAAGAGTATAGTTTTTCATGGCTTCTCGCAGGGTCGAAAACCTCGACTTGGAAAATACCTTCGTCTAAAAACATTGACGATTGGGGGATGACAAAATTAAAATTTAAAAAAAAAAAAAAAAGCATGCAAATAAATTCTGTTAAATGATCATAAAGTAGATGGAAGGAGAAAGTTTACACTAGCTGGATTAAAGAATGTACGACCAAAGCCATAGTATAAACCTAGTAAATCATATGCCTGCATGAACATATTATGATTAGTGTGACAAACATCAAAAAAATGAACCAACCCGTCTCCATTGGATCTGTTCCCGAGTACCCTACAAAAGGAACCTTTCCGAAAAAATAAAGGAAAAAAGAGACGTAATAATGGCATAGACATTTGTAGCATCGGATTACCTTTCTATCAGGATCAGCATAAAGGCAATCCATTGGAAAAGGCAGCTGGAATTTGAAGAATTAAGATGTTATGACCATGAAAGGCAGGATAGAGAAACCAAAAGAGATACAATAATTGTTGAAATTTTTATAATGTATATGCTCTGTCTACAAACATCTTTAAAAAACCTGATAAATCTTTATTGTTTATTTTATTAGTTTAAAAATGTGAGATCCCACATCGGTTGGAAGAGAACGAAACATTCTTATAAGGGTGTGAAAACCTTTCCCTAGTAGACACGTTTTAAAATCTCGAGGGGAAGCTCGAAAGGAAAAGCCAAAAAGGACCATATTTGCTAGTGGCAGGCTTGATCCGTTACATTACGCACAAACTTAAAAATTAAAGAACTCATTAGAAACTAATGCAGAGTAACATCTAAACAACAATGACTTATTAGAAACTATTAAAATATAGAGACGAGGTTGATGCAATCTTAAAAGTTATGAACCTATTAGAAAAACTCTAAAGTACAGAAATTAAATAGACAAGTTTAATTGATGTGAGACCAAACTTGTAATTTAACCACGTGTTATTGATGTTATCGGATCCTTCATATTATAAACAATATCCAAATTCGGTGTGTTTTGATTTAGAGCATCTAATCTAAATCGAATAATTATTAGATAAATCTTAAAAAATGAAATGTCATTAATAGAGAAAAGGATGCAGCCATGGACAATTAAAGCGATAATTTACACAAGGAAAATCGATACCCGCTCAGCTAGGATACGTGCTTTATTCGGAGTTCCAATGCCTACGGCTATTAGTTTAACACCAGATGAATCAAACCTTGCTTTGGATTCTTTTAAAGTGGAAGCAAGTTCCCAACTAGAACAAGAGCAAGCAACTGTCAACTCACCAAAAATTTCAAATTTGCAAATGAATGGTCTAATTTGATGACTTACCAGCAAAAGCATCCAAAATGCCTCAAAAGGGCAACAACAGCCATTCCCTGGGTAAACACCAATCAAATATAGTCTAAATAATATTCGGTAAAGAAAAATAGAAGTAGAGATTCAAATCTATAACTTATAACGTATCAAATTACGACCGTCAATAAATGTAACACTATTGAGCTCTCTATATATGTTCATCACGAATTATACACTTTTTGATATTTATTCTACCATGAAGAGCTAGAAAAAGAATTTGCATTTCACCCATGCACGTAAAAGTAACAGAGACTAAATTTGTAACCAAGAAATAAAACATCTATGCAATCAAAGGAACAGAATAAAAAGTGGAGTATGTAGAATAAATAAACTATGCAATCTTATGCTTATCCATATGCTTAAGTCATTTAAGATATGGAAAATCTTTTAACAATTTGCTCTGGTACGTTAGGAAACAAAGATGATTGAAAGAACAGAAAACAAATTGCATTTGGATTTGGAAACTCGATAATTGAACTCCAATGATTTGTCTCAGGAAAAAAAAAGGTGGGTCCAGTTATTATACGAATGTCGCTAATTATTCAATTTAGGAACCTTCCCGTCTTTGTTGCAAGGCATTGAAAGAATGAACCCCTTCTTTAGTTCAGTGGAAAGAATAAACCATGAGGAAAGAAAAAGAGATGACCTAAAACCTGTGATAGGAGTCGAAAAGGTAGCAAAATACTTGACAAAAAATATGCAACACCTAGAACATATGAGTCTCATGTGAGATCTCACACTGGTTGAGGAGAACGAAACATTCTTTATAAGGGTGTAGAAACCTCTCCCTAGCATATGCGTTTTAAAAACCTTGAGGGGAAGTCCAAACGTGAAAATCCAAAGAGGACAATATCTGCTAGCGGTGGGCTTGGACTGTTTCAATTGGTTCTAAACCTAGACACCGAGCGATGTGCCAGTGAGGAGGCTGAGCCCTGAAGGGGGTTGACACAAGGCGATATACCAGCAAGGACGCTGGAATCCAAAAGGGGTGGATTGGGCTTGGAGAAGGGAACGAGAGTGTCAACGAGGACGCTGGGCCCCAAAGGTGGGTGGATTGTGAGATCTCACACCGGTTGGGAGGAGAACGAAATATTTTTTATAAGGGTGCTTGTTGAGCTCACTTTTCTCTATAGTTAGAAGGAAAGAAACATCAAAGTTCAGGAAGCCAAATAAATTACCAATAAACCATGTTTATAGCTTCTTCTGATTTGGGTCATTTTAAATTATGCAAAATGACAATAAAAAGTCGTGTACAGGATAGAATTTCATGTTTGATTCTTAAATTTTCTGTTTCATATTGGAGATTTCAGTTCATTGATCAATTAAACACACATCCATCATCAGAATCAATTAGCCAAAGAACATCACCTATTTGTAAACAAAAGCACCAAAGAAAAAAAAAGAAAGCGACAGAGAAAATAATCAGTAAATAAACACAAAAGAGCCAATGATTGTACCTCAGTCTGATCCCAGAGGTCCTTGAACAGAACTGGCTCACCAGCAGCAGTAAAAATGCGAACATCGCCCAGAATCTCTCCAATCTCTGGGCCATACCCTGAAGTTATTGAAGCCTTGACAACGACAGGCGATCTGAAATTGCGACGAGCATCGCCATTAGTAGTCGCTAGTTTTGCAGGATAGAGTTTGGAATCGGGAGCATAGGGCTTGAGAAGCAGAGGAGAGGGAAAGTGGGAAGGGAGGTTAATCGATGAGGATAACATCGAAAGGGAAGCGCATCGAAGGGGATTTTGGGTGCGCGCAGAAACCAAATTCATTGCTCTGAATCAGCGCTCCAACTGGAACTGTGTTGTTGTTCAGTTCGTTTTTCTTGGGATAACGGCATAAATGGCCATAATAAGTTCGCATTTTAAGCCTTTTGATTGTAAAAATGGCCAGAGCTAAATAATGATTGGACGAAAATACCCCTTTCACAAAATCTTAAAAAAAAAAAAAAAACCTAAATGTCACGTTAGGTCATCTTATCCGGGGAGTGTTGCATATGGTCACATGTCATAGGTCAAATCATGCTTATCTAGGGCATGTCTGTGACTATATACCTATTCCAAATTATTTATACTGGCTTACATGTTTGCTACTTTTTTATTATTTTATTAATTGTGTCTACTGTTTTTAAGTTTTATTTGCCTCGAAATATATATTATATGGGGGATGCGACTAGTTGTTTCTACCCAGTTTATATGATATTAATGTCGTTGTTGTACTTGCTAGCTTATAACATTGCTTTCTCAAATCATTTTCCAAATGTTTCCCAAGACTTTCTCTAATCCTGTTTTTCCAAGAGTAGGGTCGAAGGCTTGAGCATATGTCACATATGCCAACGAAAACTCAAGTTTAGTTGGTTGACTTACTTGAGAAAGAGAGTAAGTGGAGCACAATCGCATTGTGAGACTTGATAGCATGTGATTGTAATAGTTGGTATTAGATTTGAGTCATCTCGTTTGCTGCAAAACTTGAGTGGGTTCCAAGTTGAAGGATCGGTCGAGATCAAAGAGTAGATGATCTATCTAAGTGAGGTCCGTGGCGGCTTTGGACTTTTGGAATCTCATCTAAATAAGATTGCCACTAAAGCCCACAAAATTGATGCGGTAGTAGGCCGCCTTGATAGGATGCCCATCCAAGAAATGATGTTGAGGGTTAAAGCCTTAGAAAATAAAGCCACAAGAACTAGTGGCTTCTGAGTGTTGTGATAACTCAGTGAGCTTTACTACTGAGATAAAGAAGCATGTGGAGGGTTTAGACCATGNAAAAAAAAAAAAAAAAAAAAAAAAAAAAAAAAAAAAAAAAAAAAAAAAAAAACTTTTTGAAGATGTAAAAGTTATTATTGATATGGACAAGGTTGAAGCGCTAGATCTGAGCGATATGCTAAACTTCATCATGAGAGTGATAGGAAACCAAACCTTTTTTCGAGATTTGAGATGGCAAGGTTCTAAAGAACTTTATCTTTGGCCTAAAATAGTATTTAAGAGCCACAAATACTATAGTAGAGAAAACAAAGGTCACTTCGACAACAATATATCTAATTAATGATGCAAAGTGGTGATAGAGATCTAGGTACATGAACATTCATGATAGTCGATGTACCGTACACTTAAGAGAGGCTAAAGCAAGAACTTTGTTCACAGTTCTTCTCAGAGAATATGAGATAGATCTTCTGTTTTGTTGAGGATCTGAAGTCGTGGGTGAAGTCTAAACTGTACAAACAAAGAGTTTAAGACCTTTCTACAGCCTACGTTATACCTGAATAGTTGTTTGACCTTAACAATAATCAATCCTAAGATATGAGGTGGAGTAGACTTTGTTAGGATCGATACCAGTCGTTAGCTCTGATATCAGTTGTTAGGATCACACAACAACGCACACGCTCGATCTAGATGAACACAAAGAATGGGATAGAGAAAATTGCAAGGAGAACTCTGGCTAAAAGGATTTTTTTTTTTTTTTATTGATGACTTCAGGTATGTACAACAAGAGAGAGTACAGAGAATAGAAAAGTACATCCTTTTAGCCAGAGTTCTCCTTGCAATTTTCTCTATCCCATTTTTTGTGTTCATCTAGATCAAGCGAGTGCGTTGTTGTGTGATCCTAACAACTGGTATCAGAGCTAATGACTGGTATCGATCCTAACAGACTTTCCCAAACGGAGGTAATAGAAATTATCGGTCTAACTCACCCAAAAGTGAGAAACAAGTTCAAAAGTTGAATATGAGACAATATAAGTTGAAACGCCTCTAGCCAAAAGCCTTAAAAAAATTCATATAAGAGCCCTAAAGTATTTGTATTCGCAAAAAGTAAGTGAGAGAGATGGAAGAGTTAATGGGATAAGGTCTTATGAATGACGAGGCTAGACTAAACCACAAATGAACAAAGAGCACTATAGTCGATTGTAGAGCTACCGACAACTATCTAGTAGAAATCGGAGTGACACAAGAAGGATGAAAGTCATCAATTCAGCAACCCTGGCAAAATTGCAAAGAGAACTTCGATCAAGTTGGAAACTTAGAGCAAATAAACCGATTTTGTCATTATCAAGATGGATGACCTCGACGTCATGTTAGGGATGGATTTCCTGTTAGGATCGCACAACAACGCAGATCTTGATGAACATAAAGTATAGGATAGAGAAAATGCAAGAAGAATATTGACTAAAAGTTTTGTATTGATGACTACATATATATATACCGTAGGAGAGAATACAAAGAATATAGAAAGTACATCTTCAAAGCTCTGCCTGAAGGGATATATATATGGTTTAGCTCACTCTATATAGTTTTACCTGATATAACTATCTACTATATATAGCTTTACCAGATATAGCTTTTTACTCTACATAGCTATTTACTATTTATGACAATTTACTTTACTAGGTATAACCATTGACTAGGCTATAAATAAGTAGCATGCTCCATAACCTAACAATTCTCCCACTTAGAGACTGATCTAGTCAACCAAGAATTTCATTCTCAAACGACCATGAGCATCTTCATGGCACCATACCAATTGAGGTTTTGCACAACCTCAATATTCCAACATCAACACATTTTGTCAACATGCTTGCTGGATTCTTTGCACCCACTATCTTCTCAAAACACATCACCATCTTCCACTAACCTGCAAGTGAAATGGTATCGCCTTCCGTGTTTTATCTTTAAATGATAGACTAGGTTCCTCACCAACTGTATGATACTCTGACTATCTCTATAAAGAATCTTTTTGTGCTGCTTCTTGCCCAATTCTTCCAGATAGTCAGTCATCCACATTGTCTTCTTTTCAGCTTCACTTGTTGTCATGTACTCAACCTCAATACAACGTATTTTTGAAGCCTAGATATCCCATCATCCATGACTTGCTCCCACTTGGTTGTATCCTCCAACTGTAGGGTCTCATCAAAGGGCTCTGGTTCCTTTTATCAGCAACAAATAGTGTAATGAAGGTACATACATATCTGGTACTCTGATAGTACTAGATGATCTTCTCAACACTGGTTCAGGTATCACTTGCTCTACCGCTGGTTCCTCTGCAACAGTCTCAGGAGTTTCTTGAGTATCTGCTACAACATCACTAGGTGAGTTTCCTTGCAACTCAAGCTCAACTCCCACTTGCTTCGTGGTCTTGGAAACTTGCTCCACATCTGGTTCAACAGTAGTCTAAGGAGTTTCATGAGTATCTGCTACAACATCACTAGGTGAGTTTCCCTGCAACTCAAACTCAACTCCCACTTGCTTCGTGGTCTTGGAACCTTGCTCCACATCTGGTTCATCAACAGTAGTCTCAGGAGTTTCATGAGTATCTACAACAACATCACTAGGTGAGTTTCCCTGCAACTTAAGTTCAACTCCCACTTTCTTCGTGGTCTTGGAACCTTGCTCCACATCTTGTTTCTCAGCAGTAGTCTCAGGAGTTTCATGAGTATCTGCTACAACATCACTAGGTGAGTTTCCCTGCAACTCAAACTCAACTCCCACTGGATTCGTGGTCTTGGAATCTTGCTCCACATATGTATGAACCATTACCAACCGCACTTTCTTCAATTCTTTGGCGCAGTCCTTATGAAGCTAACTTGTTTCTGCTTGTTCATAACGCAGTTCTCACAAAGACCCACATCAATAGATTTCAGACCTTCTAAAACTCCTTTCGTAGCCAACATCTTCATTCCTTTCACGCTCATATGTCCAAGTCTATTGTGCCATAGACTTGAATTTGAAGCACTCTCAGCAACAACAGCTATGTTCATACACCTTGCAGTGGTGTCTAAGGTTCAAGATTTTGTGACACGTGCTACCACTATAACACCCTTCATAATCTTCCACGAACTTTTCCCTAACTCTGTTGTATAATCTGTGCTGTCCAACTGACCAATAGAGATTAGGTTCTTCTTGAGACCAGGAATATATCTGACATCCTGTAATGTCCACTGATTTCCTGTCGAAGTTTTTAGGCAAATATCCCCTTTTTCTTTAATCTCCAAATCTTTGTTGTCGGCAAGATACACCTTCTTGAAATTTTCAGACTTTGAAATTCCGTAACAACTCTTTATTTGGAGACGAATGAAAAGATGCACCTGAATCTAAAATCCAGGATTCAATCGAACTGTCCACGCTGAGGATTAGAGCATCCCAATGTCTTCTGTTGAATTTATAGAATCATCATCCTCTCCAGATTTTTTACTCTGCTTCCTCTTTGGTCTTGCACAATCTGTCCGAAAGTGGCCTTTTTCTCCACAATTCCAACACGTTACGTTTGGTCAATTTGAAGATTTTTCTCGGTTCTTTGATTTTGATCGCTCCTTGTTTGGGCCCTTCGATGTACTTCTTCCCCGTTGGTGAACACTGAGAGCACTACCAGATGAATTTCCAATTTCTCGTTTACGAATACTTTCGCTGAGAACTACATCTCAAATTTCATCAAACTTCAGTTTATTAGATTCTTGGGAACTGCTGATTGCGGCAACAACAGTATCCCACGACTCAGGTAAATATGACATCAAAATCCAGCTTTAATTTCATCCTCAAAAATAATTTTCACCAAACTCAGTTGACTTACAATCATATTGAATTCATTTATATGATCAACAATAGATCCACCTTCAGACATCTGTAGATTGAACAATCTTTGCATCAAATACACCTTGTTCATAGCCGATGGTTTTTCGTACTTATTCGACAGCGCCTTCAACAGATCTAATGTTGTCTTCTCCTTGATGATGTTGAACGCCACGTTTCTGGATAGCGTCAACCGGATCAACCCTAACGTTTGTCAATCCTTGAGCTTGCACTGTTTTGTGGTCATGGTATTTGGCTTCACCCCCAACAAGGGTTCGTGAAGATCTTTCTA